AAACATTGGGCTTTCAAAACATCATTGCACCAACCTGTAAATTTTATTGTTATGTGCTGGTTACAGGGCCAAGTTTAAAGTTTATCTGTGAAGAAACAGGGAAATCGTTGAATCTTCAGCATTGCAAATATACACCATTGGATCAACGGGACTTGTAAAGTCATAGCCCTTTCCGAAATGTTCTGAATAATTTTGCATATTTATGTACAGGCCTGAGGCCCATAAAGAATCTCCAGGTCTGTGGTAGTGCTCTCACCCTCCTAGAGCCCAAATGTCACTGGGAATGGACGGAAGGGCATCTGGCTTAGCTACTTTCCTTTGTTGGTTGCAGTTCTCTTTGGTACTGATGGTGCAGGATGCTTATCTCGTTATAGTTCAGTCAGACATGTTTGTTTGTTTCTTTTTAAAGATTAAGACAACATTGTGACATGCTTACAGTTTTAGTGCCCGAAAAACCAGTTCTTAATCTGGTTGCCAATCATGTTTTTCCCTTAATGTTCTTATGTTAAGTTCCCGCCGTGACTAAGCTCTTTAATTGAAGAATCCTAATGGAGGACTATGGGTTGAACAGCTCCGGAGCAGATGAAAAGAGGAACTTGGTGTGCTAAGGGCTGAACCATCTTTTGGAGCACATTAGATTCTATTTCTTTGCATTTTTGAAGAGAACTAATGATGGGGAAGAAGCTAGTTTTGTATGTTAAATTGTGGTGAAAGTCACATAGCATAAAAGCAACAATTTTACAGTGAACAGTTCAGTGGCCTTTTAGTACCTTTATGATGTTGTGCAGCCAATCTCTATCTAGTTCCAACAGCTTTTCATCAAGAAACCCCAGTGCCATTAAGTAGTTGCTCCCTATTCCTTCTCCTAGCCCCTGGCAATCATCAGTCTATTTTCTGTTTCTAATGATTTATCATAAAACTAGAGGGCCGATGCACGAAATTCATGCCAGGGGCTTGGCCCTCACAGTCCCGGCTGCCTCAGTCCTTGCAGCCCCGGCTTCATCCAGAAGGTCGTCTGGTAGGTCTCCAGACGGTTGTTCTGCCATCTGGTATAATTAGCATATTAGCTCTTTATTATATAGGATCCAGTATAATTGGCATATTAGGTCTTTATTATATAGGAAGGATGTGTGATCTCTTGTGTGTGGTGGCTCTTACTTAGCATAATGTTTTCAAGGTTTGCTGTAGCAGTACTTCATTCCTATTATGGCTCAGTGATATTCTATTGTGTGGACATATAGCATTTTGTTTATCCACTCACTCATTGATGGATACTATGTTATCTTACCTTTTGGCTATTGTGAACAGTGCCGCCACGATCCACATGCCTGTTCTTGTGTTTGTTTAAGGATTTGTTTTTCAAATTTTTGAATGTACACCTAGAAGGGGAATTGCTGGGTTCTAGGGTAGTTCTGTGTGGAACTTTTTGAGGACCCGTTATACTGTTTTCCACAGGAGCCGAACCATTGTACATTCCCACCAGCTAAGTACAGTGGTTCCAGGTCCTCCTCATCCGAAGCAACTGGTTATTTTCTGTTGTTTTGATTGTAGCCATCCTACTGGTGTAGAGTGGTATCTCATTGTGGTTTGATATGCGTTTCTTTTATAGCTAATGATGCTGAGGATCTTTTCATGTGCTTATTGGCCATTTGTATATCTTTGGAAAAATGTCTATTCAAGCCCTTGCTCACTTAAAATTTTGCCTTTTGCCTTATAATTCTTAAATTTTAGCCATTCCTTACATAATAAGGATACACATACTATACCACTATATTATTAGCAAATATCTTCTCCTATTTGTGGATTGTCATTTTGCTTTTTTAAAAAACTTATCTTTAGTGTTGAAAGTATTACAGATGTCCACGTTGTTTTATTTTTCCCCATGGACCCCTTCCACCCTGCACCTGCCCCTCCCAGCATTTTACTTTCTTGATGGTGTTCCTTGAAGGGCAAAAGTTCTTAATTTTGTTGAAATCTAACTTACCTATTTTTTGGTTACTTGTGCTTTTGATGCCACGAAAACTAGTTTTTAACTTAGAATTTATCAGTCCCTTTTTTTATGATAAACCTTGATGGGGGAGGGGGACAATGGGGGATAAGGACACGTATGTAATACCTTAATCAATAAAAAAAATTTTAAAAAAGATTAATGGGAACAGGAGAATAATCTAAATACATTCATCGAAATATACCCTAAAGTGTAGGTAGGCTGCACTATTCCATAAGGTTAAGGATTCCTAAACCACAGAGAAATGTCACACGATTGAATTGCAGGAAGGTGAGTGTGAGCCCTTTTTTCCTTTCCTCCCAGAGGGACTTCTGATTTCTTGCCCAGACTTGGGGATGCTGTGACGCTGGTATGCCGCCTGGCAAGGAGTAGCGCTAATTCTTGGACCCTTGGAATGTCTGGCTTAGTTTTTTGTTTTTTTGGCCTCCAAAGATATATAGTTATCCTGAATTTTAAGCCACTAAAATTATATCTGAATTTAAGCCACTAACATTATTAGGAGAGGGGAAATATCAGAGTATGTCTTCTGACAAATGAATCTTAAATTGTACAGGAAAACAATACAACCTTGATCTTTCTGCAACTCGAGTCACTTTTTCTTCTATGATTTAAAGAGAATTCTCTTTCTTATAATGGAGGTTTTAGGCATTTGCTTATGAATACATAAATACATGTGTGAGTGTATACATATGTGTGAGTTATATATATAATTTTTAAAAATTCTAGTTTACAGGAGGGAACAGGAAGGCCTGTGGCTTCCAACAAGGCCGTTACCTGTGCAGAGCTCGTCTTAGATGTCTCGCCAAAGACACAAAGAGTCATTTTAAAGAAGAAGGTAAGAGAGCTTAGAATTTGGAGTTTAGAATAAAAGATTTTTAACGCTGGAAGAAACTCGGTTCTTCTGGTCCAACCCCTCATTTTAAGCGGAGGAAGAGGAGACTTAGGCTGAGTGACTTGCTCAAGGCCTTGATCTGGTCTATTTCTTCCCACTGTCCCATGACACCTGCACTAGGAGTCCCAAGCACCTTCCCATCTTTGATGCCCTTTTTGGAAAACTTAATTCTGTTTGTTTTTTTCAAATCTGTGATATCATTTTCATTACTCTATTTTTCTGTTGTAGTACTCCCCTAATCTACTTATTCCTAAACAGAATGCAAAAGTTATCAAACTGACAGTTTTTCCCCTTTTTATGCTAACATTATTTTCAAGTCAGTTTAGGGAAATGTTTATGCTAATAGACCTAGATATAAAGACAGTAAAATTTGGCTAGAAATATTACAAATGACAGAAGAACTGGTAATAAGTAAGTTCAACCTTCAAAATAAAAGAAGTTTCAGAACACGGAGTTGCAAAAGTCACTTTAAGAGAAGGGAGCTTGCCCTGGCTCGTGTGGCTTGGTTGTAGCATTGTCCCATGCACTGAAAGGTTGTGGGTTCAATTCCTGGCCAGGGCACATACCTAGGTTATGGGTTTGATCCCCGGTCTAGCGTGTACAGGAAGCAACCAATTGATGTTTCTCTTTCTCTCTCTCTTTCTCCCACTCCCTTCCTCTTCCACTGTATAAAAATCGATGGAAAAAATACCCTCGGGTAAAGATTAACCAAAAAAAAACCAACCCCAAAATTCCCAAGGAGAAAATATTTGTAACTAAAAGCAGTCAACTTAGTATGACTTTTAAATCCAATCAATTTATAAATTGAAAACTATCAATATAGGATACTTTCATTATAAACATGGAAGGGGAGATGATTTCTGGTAAATTCTGGTTGTCAGCCAATTATGAGATTAACAATGATCACATATTGAGAATATCACATATCTATATATATCAAAGGCTAATATGCTAAGTGTCCAACTGTCTGACCAGTTGCTATGTTGTGCACTGACCGCTAGGAGGCAGATGCTCAACAGAGGAGCTGCCATGACGCACACTGACCATTTACAGAGAAATGGCACCACGAACCTGGTGCCCACAAAGCAACACTCGGCTTCCCCCAAGTGGGACACAGGCCCCGCTACCATCCCGGAGCGACAGCCCACCAAGTTGCCGCCAACGCTGCCGAGACCCCACGGCGCAAAATGCGGCCCACAGCCCAGCTCCGCCTGGAAATGGTGGCTGTGGGCGCCGGGTAATGATGTCACATAGCAATGCCCAGCTTCCTCTCCCTAGTGACTAGCCTCCTTGCAGTTTCTTCAGTTCAGGAACACAACTTGCTTTATAGCCAGGTGGAAACATTTCACACTGTAACCAAATGTCTGTGAAGTGTTTTCCCGTGCCCCATCTCATTTGATCCTCACAGAAGTCCTGGAGTAGGTAGATAGGAGACTCGGTGGAATCCTATTTTCTTTTCATTATTTGGAAATGGAGATTTAGAAAGCTTAGAAACTTGACCCAACTGAAAAGAAGTAAGAAATGGTGGACCTTGAAAATAACTTCAGGTTTTCTCACTGCACAGAATAGAGTCAAACACTGCTGCAGTTAAATATTTTACCCTTTGTTCTCCCTGTGTGATCTACAATAATAATCTGCTTCGTGTTGGTATTTACTGCTGTGTTGCTGACAATTACCTGAAAGAGAAGTTGGGGTGCTTCACTGGGCTGGAAAAAGTTAGGTAAATCAGAAAGCAAGTCTAATTAAGCAAGTTTATTCTATATCTATAAAAGGCTAAGTTGACTTGTGCATGCACGATACATATAAAGCTCTTGCTGGTGCCAGTCGCACAAGTGTGTTTCGATCTGTCATTGTTGATCGTGAATTTGGTTGCCACTTCTATTATAGAGAAAGGGCCAATAGCGATATTAAAATATTTCTTCTAATTAATTTCCTTTCAATGTGCATGAATTCGTGCACCGGGCCACTAGTACTTTATATAATTGGATCACTCTGTAAGGTAAGGGCACCCAAGGGTCACCATTTGGAACAGCAGTTAATCAGCAGTATTGCCAGTGGAAGTGATTAGATTGAACTTCACCTGACTAGTTTGCTCAGAAAATATTTTTTCAATTTACATTATTTGTAATTTGGGTTGTTTGGTTCAAGAGTGTAGCCCATTTCATCCTAAGTGCAACTAGGGATTAAAACTATGAAAGCTTGAATTTAAGCCTTTATGTGGTGTGTAAATGTCTCTTAGTGTAGTTCCTACTTGAGAACTTCTCCCTTACACAGAGCTGTGGCTGCACATGACCGCTCTTTCTGGTCTGCCCACAGGAACCAGGGAAGCGTTCTCAGCTGTGGAGGATGACCGGGACCGGCATGCTGGCCCATGAGGGCTCGTCAGTGCCTCACAACCCCAACAAGCCCTCAGCAGCCCGCTCCACCGAGGGCTCTGCCATCTTAGATATTGCTGGGCTAGCTGCCGTAACTGACAACAGGTAATATTATTCAAGTTCATTGCTTTCAAATTCACTCTATACCAAAAAGCGAGTCTGCAAATGAAGTAGGAATTTGTATTTTTATATTTGTTGTTTTCCTCAGTGACAAAAACCTCTTACATTCCCAAATATGAGCATTGGGCCTTTATTTTATTTTTTTAAGCTATGGAGATGTTTAAAATTCAAACAATGAGGATATATTATAAAAAGTGAATGTTTCTTTCACCCAAACTTCCATTCATCATTACCTCCTAGAAGCGAACAGTTTCTTTTTAAAAATCGTTTAAAAATTATGCTAACTCTTTTGAAAGTAGAAACAAATTATTTAGAGAATAATCGAGGAGTGGTGGCTAACTCCTTGGGTTCAAATCAGCTCTTTAGCTTTGAATAAATTTCTTTATTTTCTGTGCCTTAGTGTTTCTGTGAAGTCAGTGTATTTGTTTTCAGGTAATACCTTATTTGCTTCCAGAATGACTTCAGATGACTTATAAGTTAAAACCCACTATAAATAAATGTATTTGGAAATAAAACAGAACAAAGACTACTGGAAATATTTTAAAATGTGTTTGACAACCCTTCTCATACTGCATGATAGCTAGTCCTTGTGAGAATGCAAGGACCTATATTATTGTGTATGTAAATAATAAGTATTTTATATAAATATATACATATAAAATGAATCCTTAAAGTATTACTGTTACTCCGTGACCCTTTTGTTGTTTTCCATTTTGTTTTATTCCCCTTTCCTCATTAAGAGATACCAGCTGCCATAGGGTTCAAGCTAACTGCCCATTTCATTTTAAGGGAAGAGGATATTGGAAGGATGAAGAATAAAACCGTGGTCCTAGTATTCCCTTCAGGCTTGAACTGTGTGACTCAGAGGACTCACTGCATTTCCCTTTATCCCAGGTATGAGCCGCTGATGCTCAGGAAGCCTGATCGCAGGAGAAGCACAACCCAGACCTGGAGTTTCCGTGAAGGAAAACTGACCTGCGGGTTACATGGGCTGGTTGTCCAGGTCTGTAAGTTTTGACATCCTCGGTGGCCAGGAGCAGCGGCTCAGCCTTCTTTGAAACAAGGTCTCAGTGAGGAGATACATGACATGTTCAATGGAGAGAACTAATTACAGAGCAAATATGTATTGTCTCATTTTATCAGGAAAGTCAGGGAACTTTTGTTGTGCACCTCTGTGTATTTATATGGGAAATGTTCTTGAAGGTGATATATAAGAAATATGTGAGGAATGGTTGCCTCCAAGGTGATGGGATTTTTTTATTGGCTTATTTGGATTTTTTTTCTTTCACATAAATTACTTACGTAATTTTAAGAGGAAGGAAAGAAAAATGTCTACTGAAAAAACCCACCACTAAGTGAGATAGGTTGGTTTGAGACCTGTGCAGTTAATATAATAGCTGCAAGAGTGCTTGGTAAAGTGTTCTCAGAGACGGTGAGTAGTCATCATGGGCTCTTGATTCTGTTTATTTCTGCATTCTTAGTGGTGTCCAAATAGCATTTAATTGTGGTAGCAAATGTCAGGGTGAAGATTGCTGTGGTCAGTTTCCCCTGTCCTCTAGTCAGCCAGTCTGCCCATGATGAACTCCCAATTCTTTAAGAAAATACATTTGGAAAATTACCGGGAGTTTGGATTTTCTTTCCTCAGGCTTCAGGCCGGCAGTGAGACCATGGATCTGAGATAGGAAGGTGTCTCGGGGGGTTGGGCATTAGCAGAACAGCATGTGTGACTGTGCGTGCAGATCTGCCTCTGCCTGGGGTTTTACCCAAGAGGTTAACACGAACACATTAGGCCTTGGCTGGGGAACTCTTAGTGTGTTGTTGCTGGTGGAAACCAGGCTGTCCTTCGTAATGGGCGGTGGTTCTCCAGGGCAGCGAGCAAAGCTGTAAGGAGCCTCTGAGTGCTATTTGCCGAGATTTATTTTCGTTATCTCTATTGCCCTTAGCTTTTTTCATCAAAGGCAAGCTGCTTACTTATATGAAGCACACATCTGGAATGGATTTGTGATTTTCAATTAGCAATACAATTCAGACTTCTAGAGGCAAAAGGGGGCTTGTTATAATTGTTGGATTCTGAGTCTGATCCTGAATTTACTTCTCGTTTGTTTCTAAAGCCCTTGTAATTCTGATTCTCTTAGAGCATTTCCCTCCAAAAAATCTTTTTTGGTATTTGTTCTTTCTTTTTTAAAAATATCTTTTTATTGATTTCAGAGAGAAAGGGAGAGGGAGCGAGAGATAGAAACATCAATGATGAGAGAGAATCATTGATCCTGCAACCCAAGCATGTGTCCTGACCAGGAATTGAACCGTGACCTCCTGGTTCATAGGTCAACGCTCAACTACTGAGCCACGCTGGTCGGGTGTTGTTTGTTTCTTCAATCTATGGTATCATTTCTCCGGTTGTGAATGACCCTGTAATAACAGTGTTCAGCTGAGCAGAATGTGTTTTGAGTAGGGAAATAGCTTGTTTCAATCATATTATTCAGAATAAAGGTTATTATAGGCATTTTGATGTTTTATGACACTGCCTTTATAAAGCTGTGTATGACTTTCTTTCTAAACTTACAACAGTCATGAAAGCTTTCTCCATGTTGAAATCTGTCCTATAAACCCAGTTCAAAGTATCCTTTTCATTGCTCAGTGTTTAAATATTAACAAAGGGGATATAGAGACGAGCCATTGTCTTCTCTAGCCCAGTATTTGCTCTGCCATAGGCATCATCCTGTAGACTTCCGTTTTATTTGGCGCATATAGCAGGAGGTACAGTCCTTTTCTGCAAAGGCCTGAGTAACTGAGGATCAGACGACGTTCCCAGCCTCCTGGTTCAGAAGAGGCACCATCTTTTGACTCTTTGGGTTGATTGTTCAGTCATAGGCCTGTTTGGGGAGGTTTTCAACTCTAGAATGTGCTTCTTACTGGAAAGCTGAGTGATAGTGATAATTGCTTTATTTTCAGATTGTATCAGATTTTTAAGCAACCCTAATGAGAAACAGGGCTTTTGATTCTTTTTAAAAAAGCTGTTTTTAATGATTAGAAGTTATTACTAAACCAAAATACTCTATTCATGGAACTCTCTTACTCAGAATTCCCTAAATTCATAGCATAACTTTTCATCTTGCCCAAGTAATTCTACTGTTTTATATCATCTATAATGTTAAAAAAAAATAGGTAATGCTTTACTGTACATTGACCATGATCCTTCAAAAGAAGATTTAAGTTTGATAACTTATTTCAAATGACACATTAAATTGTCAAAGTCAATGCCTTTGCTTTCGTTTTTTCTTACACATCTTTACTGTGTCTTTTAGGCCAAAGGAGGGCTTTCTGGTTTGTTTGATGGAGCTGAAGTCGTTCTTGGTCCTGACACTTCCATGGAGATTTTGGGGCCAGTTCCACCTGAACAACAGTTTATTAACCAAAAACTGAGGCCTGGTTCTGGAATTTTATCTATCAGAGTCATCCCAGATGGACCAACTAGAGCACTGCAGGTGATAATTTATCTTAAAAACTGACATGAAAGAATCCTAGTACCCGACCCTAATGGTTAGTCATTCAACAAATATTTATAAAGATACAGTGTCTTCATTTATCAAGTGAGGATAAGACCAACCTCACAAAGTTGTTAGAAGAATTAAAGGATAAGTAAATATAAGATGATATAAAAAATAAAGTATTAGTATAAAAATTGAAGATAATGCAATGTAACCTGAGATAGTCATCATAATCCATAATACCTCTTTAAAAAACCTCCTTATTTTAGACAAAGGTGAATTGAGGTTTGCGTATTTTGACTTGAGCTGTAATTCTAGATCACTACAGATGCCAGCCCCACTAGAAGAGGGTCTCAGGTCTACAGCTTGGCCTTTGCTGTGTAGACGGGGAACAAGTTTGTTACACTGTTACATAAATCTTACCTTAGCAGTGCTTTGGAAACCATTAACTTCCATAGGATTATTGACCATACAGTGAGTTTTGACTGACACAATCTATATGGAATGGGTTTTGCTGTATAAATGTAAGCCTTCTTAATACACTGTTTTATTTGACCTCAGATAATGGATTTCTCCCAACGGAAAAGTGACCGTTCATCATATGAAGTGGATGAACTTCCTGTTACTGAACAAGAGCTACAGAAATTAAAGAATCCAGGCACAGAGCAGGAATTAGAAGTAAGTTTTAAGTATTGCAGATTCATTTATCATAATTTGGTTAGAATTTTGCTCCGGGTGTTCTCAATGTAAGCCTCCTCTTTTCTTTCTGCCCGCTGTGAACTCTAAATATAGGTGTTGCTTCAGTGTTTAATGTTATCACAACATGAATGACAGCTAAAGAATGTGACAAATGTTGCTAAATTAAGATGACAGTGAACAAAGCTAAACTACTTGATTTAAACAGGAATGAAGGTGGAGAATAAATAAGATAGACTTTTTTTTTTTTGCCCCTGTTGATTCTGATATCTCCCTTCCCCTCTCTCTGTTTGGGTATTGGGAAGGAAGTAAAATATTTGAAAAGGAGCATGAGATGAACACGAAAAAGCACACTCTTTTCAGTGACCTTTAAAAATCAAATATCTATATATAAAGCATTGTATTGGATGCTATGCTAGTTCAGTGAATAACTTATAAAGAGCCTGCATCCCAAATAGGGAAAATAGTATAAATAATTATTCTCTTATAATAAATGCAGAATGTCATCAGTACTCTGATAGAGGCATTATCATATCAGACTAGAGTTCTGGGGGGTAGGGAGGTGATGGGACTTAAAGGCATCAAGGTGAATAATATGACTAAGTAAGTGGTTTTCATCTGCTCAGGGATGAAATCCCTCTGTTTTAAACGGTCAGTACGCCATATTTTGGTTTCCTTTCAGGTGCTTGTGAAGTTAGAAGGTGGAATCGGGTTGTCCTTAATTAATAAAGTCCCAGAAGAACTGGTCTTTGCAAGTCTTACAGGAATCAATGTGCACTATACACAGTTGGCAACCAGTCATATGCTTGAGCTCAGCATACAGGATGTACAGGTAAGGGGCAGGACAGGTTAGAACTTGTTAATCTTCTTGTGTTCTTGCTGAACACCCAACCAAATCTAGTGTTTGGTGTTCCAAACACTTCAGTGCTTTGGCAAAGTATCTTGTTGTGGCTTTCAAAAGGTCATTCTATGAAAGTAATTGTTTCTACCTACATTTGTGTCATTGATTTTTCTATATAGCAGAATTCTGAATATAGTAGCTAGTCTAACAGTAACTTAGATAACTTAGTCAATGTAGCATGGAGGAACCCAGGGTTCCCCATCTTGCCAATATTAGAAAGAACAGGAAATCATCTAACCATGAGGAATTGAAGTTCATCATAGGAAGAAAAACAAGGGAACTGAACTTGTGCATCTGGCCAACATGTAGTGACAGGAACCGGATTTACTCTCCTACGTGAATCGACCCCCAAATCCAGATAAAACAAAGAGACAACAGGTCCAAGACACTGGACTTCAGACAACAGTGTGAGAGGTGGGAAACAAAAGAGGTGAGCCCTGCAGTTGCTCAGCTTACTGGGAAAGTTTCCCGGCCGTGACACTGGGAGGGGAGGGGGAACTAGAATGGATGAGTTGAACAAACAGAGCTGGAGTCCTAGCACTGAGGCAGCTAGACTTCAGAGGACAGCATACCTCGGAGGAACGTGCTTCACAGAAAGAAAACATGGGAGCTCTACAGAGGGGCCCTACGAGTATTCAGCAGAGGACAGATCAGTGATGTGTGTGAGGAAACTGCCATCCGGACCATCCGAAAGGATCTCTGGGATAGCACCTGCTGCTCCCCAGCTGGAGATGGTGCTTCTTCCTCCCAGCCAGACTGGATGCTGGGAAGAGTCCTCCAGCAAGTCTTGCTTCCATGCTGAGCTATGATTAGCCCTAGGCTGAGCACTGCTCCAGACCTACCTAACAAATCATAAAAGGAAGGTCTGAAAGGATAGATTTGTTTCCAAGTAACTTAACTGCACCCTGAACAAAGCTCAAGATGTAATGGAAAACAAAAATATTCAGCAGCCAAAGTAAAATTCACAATATCTGGCATCCTATCAAAAAGTACCAGGTGTGCAAAGGGGCAGGAAAACACAATATGTAATCAGAATAATCAGTCAAAATGGACCCAGAGCTAACACAGATGTTAGAATTTTCAGAGGACATTAAAACTATTAGGATAACTGTATTCTACATGTTGAAAAAGTTAAGTAGAAACATGGAAGATATAAAAAACTCAAACTTCTACAGATTAAAATGAAATGAAAAGTACACTGGATTTGATTAATAGCAGATGACACATTGTAGAACAAAAGATTAGTGAGCTTGAAGATGTAGCAATAGAAACTGTCTGAATTTAAATAGATAATAGACATATCTCTTTTATTGCACTTTATTATGCTTCACAGATACTGTGTTTACAAATTGAAGGTTTGTGGCAACCCTGCATTAAGTGTCTATTGGTGCCATTTTTTAATAGCATTCGCTCACTTTGTGTCTCTTTGTCGCATTTTGATAATTCTCATTAATAGTCCAGTATTTTTCAATATTATTACATTTGGTATGATGATCTGTGATCAGTGATCTTTGATGTTACTGTTGTAGTGGTTTGGGGGTACCATGAACCACTCCCATATAAGAATGCATACTTCATTAATAAATCTTGTGTGTATTCTGACTGTTCAACCAAATGGCCATTTCCTCGTCTCCCTTTCCTTATTCTGCCTACTCACTTAGACACAACTTGAAACGAGGCCAATTAATAACTCTATAATGGCCTGTAAGTGTTCAAGTGAAAGGAAGAGTTGCATGTCTCTCACTTTAAATCAAATGCTAGAAATGGTTAAGTTTAGTGAGGAAGGTATGTCAGAAACCAAGACAGGCAGAAAGCTAGGCCTCTTGCACCAGTTAGCCAGTTGTGAATGCAAAGAAAAAGGTCCTGAAGGAAATTAAAAGTGCTACTTCAGTGAACATATGAATGATAAGAAAGCAAAACAGCCTTGTGCTGATATGGAAAAAGTTTTAATGATGGGGATAGAAAAAGCAAACCACAATATTCCCTTAAGCCAGAGCCTAATCCAGAGCAACGACCCAACTTTTTTCAGCTCTCTGAAGGCTGAAAGAGGTGAGGAAGCTGCAGAAGAAAATTGTGAAGCTAGCAGAGGTTGTTTATGAGGTTTAAGGAAAGAAGCCATTTCCATCACATAGAAATACAAGGTGAAGCAGCAAGTGCTGATGTAGAAGCTGCAGCAAGTTCTCCAGAAGATCTAGCTAAGATAGTAATTGAAAGTGGTTACACTGAACAACAGGTTTTCAGTGCACATGAAACAGCCTTCTATTGGAAGAAGACGCGTCCTTGGACTTTCATAGCACAGAGGATAAATCAGTGCCTGGATCCAGACGACAGCCTGGCTCTCTTGTTAAGGGCTAATGTAGCTGGTGACTTTAAGTTGAAGCCAATTCTTATTTACCATCTAAAAATCCTAGGGCCCTTAATAATATACTCAATCTATTCTCTCTGTGCTCGATAAATGGACAACAAAGCCTGGATGACAATACATCTGTTTACAACATGGTCAACCTAGAATTCTATGTCCAGCAAGTATACCTTTCAAAAAATAAGGGTGAAAGAAAGATGTTTTTACGCAAACAAAAGCTAAAAGAACTCATTACCAGCAGATCTGCACTATAGACAATGTTAAAGGGCATCATTCAGGCAGAAGGAAATGGTACGAGATAGAAATCTGGATCTACACAAAGGAAGGAAGAGTACCTGAAATGATGATAACTACGGGGGTAAATAAATACAATAATTTTCTATTTAAATCTCTGTAAGAGGTAGTCAACTTGTTTAGACAAAAATAATTATCGCTATATTTTGGGATCTATAATACATTAGAGTAAAATGAATGACAATAATAGCATACTGTCTGGAAGGGGGGAAATGGAACTATATTATTGTAATTTTTTATACGTGAAGTATTATGATGTCATTTGAATGTAGGCTGTTAAAGATGAATACCACAAACCTTAAAGCAGCCACCAAAAGAGTTACACTTAATAATCTAACAAAGGAGATAAAATGGAATCATAAAAAGTACTTGATTCCAAGAAAAGGCACACAAAAGAGGAAAACTCAGAAAAGAGCAGACAGGACAAATAGGAAGATGGTTGACTCATTCAAACCTAACTGTATCAGTTAATTAAATGTACATGCTATAAACACCTCCAATTAAAAGACAAAAATTACAGGTTAGATTAAAAAGCACAACCCAATTATATACTGCCTACAAACACACACACATTAAAATTAAAGACACAAATAGGTTAAAAACAAAATAATGGAAAAAGATATACCAGGCTAACACTTGTCATAAGAAAGTGGGAATGGCTAGATTATATCAGACAAAATAATTTACAGAGCAAAGAACATTACCAGGGGTTAGAAAGGTAATTTCCTAATGATAAAAGAGACAGTTAATCAAGAGGGCATAACATTCCTGAATATGTAGACAGAGCTTTAAAATATACGAAGAAAAAAATCTGAAAGAAGAATATAGACAAATACACAATTATAGTAGAAGATTTCATTGCCACTCTCTGAATATTTGGTAGAACAAATAAGCAGAAAATCATGAAAGATATACTAGATTTGAACAGCACTACCAACCCACTAGGCCTAATTGATATTTATAGAACACTCCACCCAGCAACAGCAGGACACATGTTCTTCTCAAATGCACATGAACATTTCCAAGATGGAACACATTCTGGACCATAAAACGATTCTCAACAAATTCAGAAGGATTTAAGTCACACCCAGTATGCTCTTTGATCACAATGGAATTAAAGTAGATATAATGGAAAAAGAGTTAGGAAAATCCCCCAAATATTTGGAAACTAAATAGTAGACTTCCAAATAACCCATAGATCAAAGAGCAAATCAAAGTAGAAATTAGAAAATATTTTGAACTGAATGAGAATGAAAACACAACATATCAGAATTTGTGGAATGCTGCTAAACATCACCAACAGCAAACCCAAAATAAGCAGAAGAAGGGAAATAATAAAGATCTCAGCAGAAATTAATGAAGTAGAAACCAGCAACTACAGTAGAAAAAAATCAAATAAAAAGCTGGTTCTCTGAGATCAGTGCGGCCAGGACTAAAAAGAGAAGGCACCAATTACCAATATCAGGAAAGGGGAGGTGCCAGTCAAGTAAAAAAATTGACGTCTCTCTGGGAATGGAGCTTTCGGGGGAGCTGCAAGCCCGTCATGGCCCCTCCTCAGGCTGCCAGGCCCCTGTGTGTTCACCGTGGTTGCAGGGCTGTTAGTTTCTGAGGCCACTGTGGACCTGGGGAGGACAAGTGGGAGTGACAAGTAAAAATGCCACAGAGCTGTTCTAATCGAGTTTTAGCTAATTTTCTCGAATAAATGATCCCTGGATAGTTGCAAACCTTTAACTTTCAGAGTTCTGAAATACTAGATTTTGACTATTTTTGCCAGTTTTGTTGTGGTACTATCAAGACAATTCTCTTTGTAACACCATTCCTGGGATCCTCCTCTCCAGCCTTCACCAAGCTTGAAATGCTATTATTGTGGGTCTTCAATGAGACTATATTTTTACAGCTGCTGTTTAGACAGAGTCAAATGGCAAGGGTACTTCCTGAGCGGCCTGCATATTGTGAGACCCCAGTCAAAGGTAAAAATGAGAACCTAGCCACTTGGCTGTTTTTGTTTTATTTTGCCTTTTCATGTCCTAGGTGGACAATCAACTCATTGGTACCACTCAGCCCTTCATGCTCTACGTGACGCCCCTGAGCAATGAGAATGAGGTCATTGAGACAGGCCCTGCCGTGCAGGTGAATGCGGTGAAGTTCCCCAGTAAGAGTGCGCTGACCAACATCTACAAGGTAGGCTGGTGGGGTTGAGCTGTGCTGGGTTTTTTCTCTCACAGCCAATTGTCTGAGCAGCAGAGCAGGGTGTGGATGGAAATAGTCCAGTGAGGTGAAGGCACAGTGGCTTATTAAACCGTGGAAAGGAATTGACAGGAACTCCTCTTAGCACTGTGTTCTCAACTGTGTGTGTGCTGACCTTGCCTGTGGTAGCTCTGACTCCATTGGGGGCCAGAGTCCATGAAGTCTTGGTGGGAAAGCATAGTTCTTCTAGACTGATCGGGACCCAGGCATGATCCAGATGTATTATTAAAATAGAGTAATCCAGAATACTATTGGAAAAGAGGCAGGAGGGGTCTGACCTTGCGACTGACATCCTCCTATGGAAGCTGCCACACTGTTTGCTAAAAGTGGACCCTTCAGAGATAAACTTTCTTTCCTGGAGAATCTGCATGCATAAGCAGGCTGTATGGCAGCAAGTCCTGGAAAAGTAGGAGCTGACAAAGAGGTTGCTTCCTATAGTTCTGGTCCTTTGTCACTGGTGTGATGAGGCCAGGCCTCACATCCATAAGCCCACACTTGCTGCTCCTTAAACTAGCTGCCAGCCATGTGAGCTCAGCACGGTGAAGTTCACCCACTGTAGTGCATCTGAAAGTGTCATGCTGACTAAGGAGACCCAGGTGCCCTCAGAACCAAACAATCAAGCGGTGAATTGTCTAAACGTGGAATTTGGGGCTAATTGTAACAATGTAGAGAGAGATGAGCCAGAAATACTTTGGCAGTCTATATATACAAAAGGCTAATATTCTAGGTGTCCGACCGTCCGGGTAATGACATCACGTAGCAACTCCCGGCTTCCTCTCCCTATCGACCAGCCTCCTTGCAGTTTCGTCAGCCTAGGAGCATGACTTGCTTTATAGCCAGGTGGAAACATTTCACACTATAACCAAATGTCTGTGAAGCGTTTTCCTGTGCCTCATCTCATTTGATCCTTTCAGAAGTCCTCGAGTAGGTAGATAGGAGACTTGATGGAATCCTATTTTCTTCTGATTAGCCAGAAAACAGAGATTTAGAAAGCTTAGAAACTTGACCTGACTGAAAAGAAGTAAGAAATGGTGGACCTTGAAAATGACTTCAGGTTTTCTCACTGCACAGAATAGAGTCAAACACTGCTGCAGTTAAATATTTTACCCTTTGTTCTCCCTGAGTGATCTACAATAATAATCCGCTTCATGTTGGTATTTACTGCTGTGTTGCTGACAATTACCTGAAAGAGAAATTGGGGTGTTCCACTGGGCTGGAAAAAGTTTAGCTAAATCAGAAAGCAAGTCTAATTAAGCAAGTTTATCCTATATAATGAAAGCCTAATATGCTAAGTGTCCGGTCGTCCGTTCAACCAATCAAAGCATAATATGCTAATGATATGCTAAGGCCACTCAACCACTCGCTATGACGTGCACTGACCACCAGGGGGCAGACAGTCAACCAGTTCACCAGTCGTTATGATGTGCACTGACCACCAGGGAGCAGATGCTCCAACGGGTAGGTTAGCTTGCTGCTGGGGTCCGGCTGATCAGGACTGAGCAAGGAGCAGGCCTAAGCTGTCAGTCAGACATCCCCTGAGGGCTCCCGGACTGCAAGAGGGTGCGGGCTGGGCTGAAGGGATCCCCCCCTGAGTGCACAAATTTCATGCACCGGGCCTCTAGTCTACATATATATAAAACTCTTGCTGGCGCCAGTCGCACGCGTGTGTTTCGATCTGTCATTGTCAATCATGAATTTGGTTGACACTTCTATTATAGAGAAAGGGCAAATAGCGATATTAAAATATTTCTTCTAATTAATTTCCTTTCAATGTGCACTAACTTCCTTTCAATGTGCACCGAGCCACTAGTATGACTATAAAATCACGTGAGTAAAGAATCCATAGCCTGTCATTGGGGCCTTCGCACTGGCACAGAAAACCTGAATGGGAGTTTTTTCTGGGGTTCACGCTGTAAGTCAGAATTCCTTTATCCCTAGCACCTGATGGTCACGGCTCAGAGGTTCACAGTGCAAATTGAAGAGAAGCTGCTCCTCAAGCTGCTGAGTTTCTTTGGCTACGATCAAGCAGAATCAGGTAATGGTGAACGTTCTAGGTTTGTGTCTGGGAATTGGCCCAAGAACGGCATTTTTTAGCCTGCTTGTGGAAATAAGGTTTTGGATATAAGCTCTCTTTCCACGTCGTAGCCTGAACTAGGAAGGTTTGTGTTTCAGTTTTCAAAGTATTGCTTGTTGACAGGTTGAAGTACATCTGGGCGTGAAGGAGGCTGCTCAAAGGTGTCCTGGAATGCCAGGCGCTAAGCCTTTGGGAAGCTGTATACTCTTCCTCTTTGTTTTGTGTTTTTTGACTCCTCTACTCTAGGCTAACAGAAATGATGTTAGTTATTTAGCAAACCACTTTGTTCCCTAACCTTTGTTTATGAAGCAGACTGAGGGCCAAGAATCAGAAATCCCTTCGGCAGTTCTTTTGGTTTAGTTGAAGAAAAAAATTGGCTAGCCTCAACTCCTTAACTTTTTACATTCATCCCCTTATGCCTTACAAAGGTTTTTAATTACTTTACTCTTCTTTGGAGAGGGGAGTGAGATAAGCTGTTGAGAAACCTACGTTTTCCAGCTACAGAAATCATTTTGTTTTAGATTCCTCATTGTGGCCTTTGCAAGACTATATACAGCCTAGAGAAAATCAGTAATGCTAGTCTTTGGAAGACTCAGTAATAGCTGAGCCTGGAGAAATGATACAATAGAAACATTTATGTTTATTGCCCCCGTCTGCTAAAGAAAAAAGGAATCCCCGGTACATGTGTGCATATGCACATACATATACACCATGCAAGCAAAATAGTTTTTCCTTTTTATTCCAGACTTGGAATTGAAGCTTTTCGTGTATTTGGGATTGAGAACAAGTGCTGTCTGTTTAGTGCTGTGTTTTCACTTTGGGTTGGAATGCTGGTGTTTATTTGTGCGTAGACAGTCACTTAGGAACCTGCCTGGCAGGTATCTGTTTCCTTTTGGTATCTTCCGGAGAAGTTTTACTTTAAATTTGATTGGACGTGCTTTTCCTGTAAGCTGCTCTAAATAATTTCCCCTCCCCCCACTCGGCCAAGGATCGTATTGTGTATTTAGACTCTGTCAAGGCCTGGCCTGCCTTTCACTGGAATATCTTCTCTGCTTCCTATTTCTGTGTCCTGATTACAGATAAGCTAGGCTCTGTTGCAATATCTTTTTTTTTTTTACCCCTTTTTTCTATAAATAGAACTCTAATAGGTACAGCATTAATTTATTTGGTAAGTAGATATGTATAATATCTTTGTTCTTATTTCTAAGGCACATGCAGCCAAGTGAACGAACATAGCTGCCCAAATGGGTGTGGGCACAACATTGAGTCAAAGGGCACATTGCTGTGGCTTAGCCCTTAACCTTTTTACTTCATGAGATAATAAGTAAAAAATAGACCTCGACTCTGCTGTGCAAACGGATGCTCACCGTTTGGGAGAGAGAATGCTGCTGGTTGTGACATCAGTTCTGCATAGCCCGCAGCCTGTTTCTTTCTAAGGCATTATGTTTTGTTCCGATTCATTATTTATTGGTCATTGTTTATTTTGATTTGGTTAAAACACACTCCAAGTACTTACTTGGATGTCATCTTCTGAAATAAATTCAGAAAATCTAGGTCATTTATAATAATAATAATAATGACAACAGCAACATGGTTTTTAGAAAACTTATTACCAACAAACACACCCATGAGCTCTTGCTTCCCCACCTGGATTCTTTCGCCAAAGGTGCTCTGCCAGGGGGTACAGAGTCACAAACCAAAGATTAAGCTATTGTGCTTTTTTGGTCAGCAACATGCAACAGATCTGCTTTTACAAGGAAATGCATCAGGATACTGTGCATAATTCTGAACCATGAAAAACTAAGTGTAGAGGGAATCGATGTTTACATTTTTCTGTGAGTTTTTAAATATGTGAATCAAGTGTTTGAATCATGAGGCTTCAGAGATTCATTTTTTTATAAAACAATTCTATCTTTGTGCCAGAGGTTGAAAAATATGACGAAAACCTCCACGAAAAGACAGATGAGCAGGGGGGAACACCCATTCGCTACTACTTTGAAAATCTCAAGATCAGCATTCCCCAGATCAGGCTGAGCGTGTTCACCTCCAACAAGTTACCCCTGGACCTGAAGGTGAGCTGAGAGCTGGATACGTTTTAAACAATGACTTTTCCTCAGAAAAGAGTGAGTGTGTTTACTCTTTGCTTTTTCTGTCCAGCAGCATTTGTAACAGACATTTTTACAGGTTTCCTTCTTTAGGGGTTTACTGACTCACGTGTGTGTGTGTGTGTGTGTGTGTGTGTGTGTGTGTGTACATGTTCATTTAAAAAAAATGTTTAAGTATGACTTTGCCGAAGATTAAGGAGTAACAAAAGAGTAGACAGAGAAGTACATTAGAACTCACCTGCTCTCTGCTTAGCTCTTGGCTCATCTCAATGAGGTAAAAGCCTCCTTGCCTAGGGCTGCTCCCACACTCAAGAGGAAAACTACCACCAAGACAGTCTCTTCCTTTTGTGCCCAAGACCTGCCTGCCCCTCCTGGTTCGCTCCTCCTCTCTGCGTCTTCCGCGTCTGGAATGGGTGACACTAGAAATGCCTGCCACTTCAAGGAAGACGTGGCCACATACCCACTACCCACAGAGACGTGGTCTTGCCTACCCCCAGACCAGACGCAACATGATCATCTTGATACGCACCTGACACAGTCTGAGTAGCTTCTTCATTTTCTCCAATAAACTCTTCATTAGTCTGGTCAACATCAGATCATATTTGGATAAGAACAGGGCCAAGTGGCTGCTTCACAAAGGCAGCAAAGTGGGGCTGAGCTGCTGGGCCTGCTGGTCAGGACCAGGGGGCGGGGATTGCCCCTGCAGCGTAGACCGGCAAGGGTGCCCTTCCTGACGCACTGCCCGCTGTCCCGTCTGCTTCATTTGCTTTAATTTCATGTTTCCCAGGAGACTGCAGATACTTACAGTTAGCATGGGAGTGGGGGAAAACCATGGGAAAACCACTATCTTGCTAATATCCACAAGTATCCACTTGACTTCTGTGACCCTTCGGAATGAGTTTGTTTGATAAAGTGTATATTCCCCCGAGCACTTGGCACTCGCCCAGCGGGCCAATGTGAAGCATTTCCTGAGAGTTAAGGACTTCTTGTTTTTAAATTCATCTTACTAAGAAACACAGACACCTAAATATTCCTTTCAAATTGCTCCCAGCAGAAAACTTTCCCCCAGACTGACAAATGCAGCATGATTTTCTCCAGGGGAACTGGCTCCCTATGCGGTCCACGGTCTTGCCGCTGCATGTGAGCTCTGCATACAATGGCCGGGAATCGTTCAGGCGAATGTTTCATTTGGCAGGCACTCTGCGGAGGGAACATTTGAAGGCATTTTTCAAACGATTGTTAAGGAAATTCAGGGGAGCGGCCACATTATGAGGTGTGGGTGGCGGCCGCTCTGAGTGGGGTACGTCAATGTTTCAAGCAGGGTGCTGGGAATTGGGACTTCAGAGTTAAATTCTCAGCTTGTAGAAGTCACCGTTTTACCGTGTCTTGGTTTCTCCTAGTGGAGCCTGGGACTCATAAAATAATGTCATCTATCCAAAGAGTTTCCTAACAGAGTAATATCCCTTTATTAGCCGCTCTTAGGAAGAGCAGCGTGCTCTTTGTGATGATATGTAATGGCTGAAAGTATGTGCTTAGGAAATGGAGCCCCGTCCCAGCGCAGGAGTCACAGGAGTCTGACTAAAAGGTAACCGTGTCTTTGGTGTTGAAGGAATAATTATCTTGATTCCCTTGACTCCAGGCCAGAAGTGAGGCTGTCAGAAATCTCAGAGCGAAGTCTCTTCAGGTTTACACCGAGGGAACGTTATTGCAGATAGTCTGTTCAGAAGGACTCGAAGCAGTTTCACATCTGCTATCTCAATTGGATTCCTTCCTCTGTGATGGGAGAAGGGGGAGGTAATAAGTTCCATTTCACAAATGCGAAGAGGAAAGCACGGCATCCCCACCCCCAGTCTCCCCATTATTCTCCCAAGTCTGCAAGTTAGAGTAGCCGACTAATATGGAGAATGCCAGGTAGCTTATATGTTCTCTCCCTCTTTTTTTTTAAAGATCAAAGAAGCCAGGAGCCTTTAAAAGGTTTCACAAGGTGGCCTACAGCAGTTCTTTTCCCATTTAGAGCATGGGGGTATTACAAAAGCAGGGCTTTAATTGAGCAATCTAGTTTGGAAGAAAACCCACATTTTAATGGTCAGAGAGCAAGAGGGTGGGGGTGAGGGGGAATTTCAAACAAAGACACTATTTAAAAAGCCTAAAACTGTCTTCTCAAAGGCTTGAAATAATTTGTTGGGAAACTTCAGACCCTTTACTTTTTCCCTCCCCTTCCTAAATAAAAACCAGATTTGTTAAAGGGAAAAAGATCCAGTATTGTTAATTGTATTTCAGAAAGTGCCAGAGAGGGAAAGATCCCTGTAGTTTTAAACACCGTCCCAGGAGGGAAATGGGCAGATACCCTGCTTCACATAAACAGTCTCTATGCACCATAAATAAACCTTTAAAGAATGAATTCCAGACAGTTTTGTTTAGTGCAGGATAAACTCCGAGAGGAAAGGACGTGGCCCAGGGGCTGGCTGGCGATCTGAGACCTATGGCGTATGGACAGGTATTTCTCCTTTCAGCTCTATAAAGTTTCTGGAAGACTTCAGCAGTTTTTGTCTGGCAGAGGTCGGAGTAGACACTTTCCTATTTTTATTAGGAACTTATGAGCACAGATTGTTTACCCCAGAATCCATTTTATAACAGGAAACTGCTACTTGAGTAAATGAGCATCAACTTAGTATACTACTGTATGTGATTAGTCCTCTAGTTACTCTAAGAAAGAGCCCTGTTGGGCTCTTTCCCTCTCATCCCTTCTACTTCGACCAGAACAGCCTGAAGGTGGCAGGATTACTCATACCAATAGCTGTATGGCAGCTTTTTCCAATACGGGAGGCCCCAAAGCAGTAAATGACAAGGGCAGATCATTTTATTGAAGGGCCAGAATACTAGTGTTTCCTTGGTTCAGACAAAGCACAGCAGCCATTCAGAAAGGGGATAGTGTCTCCAGTGGGTGAGGGTTTTGACAACTCAGTACAGGTTTCAAAGCCTTCGCTACTCTGTGTGGTTCCTCCTCTCCAATGTTTGGTTGCAATGAGGAAGTTGGGGTAAAAGCTTTTTGCCTTAAGCCTTTGTTTTGATCTCATTTCCTCTTCTCGGAGAAGAAAGCAGTGCTCTGAGCTGTGTTGACAAAACAAACTCTGAGCTGCTGTCAGTACCTGGCTTCCCCAGCACATTTGTTGTGTAGCTTGAAGCAAAACAGTTAAGCCTTCAGGACCTCAGTTTCCCTGTCAATGAAATGAGGGAGATAATGCCTGCTTATTACTTCATCACCACTCACCCAGGGTGGGTGAGACGTGCAGGAATGAGCAGCGGAAAGTTTTCCAGGAGAAATAATATAATCCTCCATTCTGGTCTCCATGCTCTCCACCTAGTAGGTCGTTACTGTTGTGAAAATTAGCATGTTCAAGTCTGAGACCTGCTAATAACCATCTCCATCCGTTTTGGCCATCCTCTTAGCATTTCTTTAGTTTTACCTATAACAAAAAGGAGAGTGTTAGTCTGAATTAACTTGAGGATGCTCTTAATCTCTAAAATGTTTTGTTCTCCAGTTTTTAGTAAAAGGTTACAAGTGGCTTCCCACAGCACCAAATCCAGTGGCTTTTTCCCTTCCTTGTAGGGTCCTCGCCGACTTTGATATTGCTGCCTCTTGACGTCAGTCCTTTCTGGTTCTTCTTATTCTCCTATTTGTTTCTTCTCTGGCTTTTTCAGTTTTCTTTTACTCTCCTCCTCCGTCTCCTAATGTCTATGTTAAAGGCCATTTTTTTTTTCCCTCTGAACTAACCTGTTTGGTTATATCACTAGTCCATTTTTTAAAATCATATGATTGGTCTTTTATCTGACTTTAGAAGCTCTTTATGTAAGTTCTGTATTTGATATAAGTTGCAGGTATTTTTTTCATTTTTTTTTTTTTTTACTTTGCTTTTGGTGTTTGTGTGTTTTTAAATCATACAAAAGCTTTCTGTTTTTATGTTGTCAAATTTATCAGTCTTTTGCCTCTTTGAATCTGAATTTTGAGTCACAAAGAAGTTTCCCCACTCTCTGGTTTTAGACAGTGTCATCTTCAATTTTGTGGTGTCATTTCAATTATGAACATACTCTTGTTAAAAGAAAATACATGCTAAAAGATTAAAAAATAAATAAGAAAATAAAATAGAAAATCCATTAAATTTCACATGAGATTTTACTGTAAAGACATGTTAACTCAGTGGGAAATATACAGGTGTTTTAATAAGTGCTGTTAGACTATCTAGATAGCCAGATAGAAAAACATAAAATTAGATTTATTATTCACATTCTACAAAAGGATAACTTCTAAGTGGATCAGAGATGTACTATTATTAGCATGAGCAAGTGTTTTCACATCCACAAAAGAGAATTTGGGATGCTTTCTAAAATCCTTGAAATATCAATCATGTTAAATAAAAATATAAATTAGAAAATAGACTACATCTGAAAATTATTAACTGGCTTATAGCAGACCCAAACCAGCTGGGAACTACAAGAAAAGCTAGATATTAAAAAACAACAACAACAAAAACACACAAAAACAAAGTCTGTTTGAAGGTGTTGGAAAGCTACCAAGACAGCCAGGACTCAAGGGTCCAAGATTTATGAGAGGCAGGAAACTCGATAAGGTGAGCACGCTGTTTACTCTGCATTTATTCTTGAGACATTTCTAATTTGTAAGTGGTATGGGGAGAAAGGTAGGGCAGTTAGGCAGAAAGCAGCTGCCAAAAGGCAGAGAATCCGAGGAAAGCTTTTGGCAGTCTCATGAGGCTGGCAGAGCAAAAGTTGGACTTCATTGCTACAAAGAGAGCTGGTAATTGAGGGGCTAATATGTTACAGAGAAGGGATAGGCACAAAAGAGACCCCAATAACCTGAGCTGCTTTATTTCTCGAGGCAGGTGCCAGTTTCTAAGTAACCTAGTCGGACAGAAGCCAGGCAAAAAGTGACAGCCAAGAGACTGAAGAGC